AACTCATGAATTATCCGTCAAAATCACACAAGATTTTGCTAACCTGTTGAATAAAGATGAAATAAAATATTTGATAACAATACTGGAAAACATTTTCGAAATGATAGTTTAAATTTGATTCCAAAGTTTACTTTGCGTTTCTTTTAAGCTCACCTACTCAAGTGAGCTTGTCTGATCAAAATTTGTCCGTTGTCTTTCGTTGTCGTAGTGGTTGTCGTTGTCGTCGTCGTCGTCGTACACTTTTCACATTTTCATCTTCTTCTCAAGAACCACTGGGCCAATTTCAACCAAACTTGCTATAAAGTATCCTTGGGTAAAGGGGATTCAAGTTTGTTCAAATGAAAGGCTACTTTCAAGGGGAAAAAATTATGAATTACAGAAAAATTAATGGCATTTTAAAAACTCTATTCAAGAACCACTGGGCCAGGAAAGATGAAACTCATGTGGAATTATCCTCAGGTAGTGTAGATTCAATTTTGTTCAAATCATGACCCCCAGAAAGGGTGGGGCCAAAATGGCCAACCCAAGTTTTACATAGGAATATATAGGAAAAATCTTTAAAAATCTTCTTCTCAAGAACCACTGGACCAAAAAAGATGAAACTCACGTGGAATCATCCACAGGAAGTGTAGATTCAAGTTTGTTCAAATCATGACCCCCAGGGCTAGGGTGGGGCCAAAATGGCCGACCCAAGTTTTACATAGGAACATATAGGAAATTTTTTTAAAAACCCTCTTCTCAAAAACCACTGGGCCAGAGAAGATAAAACTCATATGGAATCATCCTCAGGTAGTGTAGATTTAAGTTTGTTCAAATCATGACCCCCAGGGCTAGGGTGGGGCCAAAATGGCCGACCCAAGTTTTACATAGGAATATATAGGAAAAATCTTTAAAAAACTTCTTCTCAAGAACCACTGGGCCAGGAAAGATGAAACTCATGTGGAATCGTCCTCAGGTAGTGTACATTCAAATTTGTTCAAATCATGACCCCCGGAACTAGGGTGGGGCCAAAATGGCCGACCCGAGATTTACATAGGGATAGAAAGGGATACATTTTAAAATCTTCTTTTCAAGTACTTCAAAGCCAAAGTGATTCTGATTAGTGATATTTATATGGAATCATCCCCAGGAAGTGTAGATTCTAGTTTGTTTAAATTATGAACCGCTTGGCGGGGGATGTTAAAATTCAAGCCCCCCCCCCTTCAGTAAACTTTCAGTTCTGATCTGATGTGTGCTTTTTCCTAGCCGATGTGCTCAGGTGAGCGCTGTGTCCCCTGGGCCTTTTGTTTTCTTTTCAGCTTACTTAAAGAGAAGGAATCCCAAAATGTTATTACCTGGTCATTGGTCATTTTATCTTTTAGGAAAGTTGGAAATAAACATTTTTTTGTTATATCAAGTTAATGTTGAAAAAAAAAATGCTAATTTTTGCATTCATATTGTACACAATTATTTCAAAATACATAAAAAGAAGTACATGTATCTTCGACTAAACTTATATGCTGAAGTCATCTGAAAGTAGAAGGTACAGTTTCAATACAAAGTAAGCCCGATATTTTTCTCAAATATAAAAGTGATATATAAGAAAACAAAATTCATTCTTTCTTAATCATAGAAATTCCCTGCAGCAAGATTATACAAATTGTTTTTCTCATATGACCTCCTTAATACTAATTGTGACGTCATTAACTTGTGCATTTTCCCGTATTTTCTTAAAAAGTTGCAGAAGACATCAATTTTCAGTAGAATTTTCTTTCAGAATGTGATTTTTCATAACAGTTTACATAATATATCCAAAAATTAAAGTGGGCGACGGTGGCAGAAACTATTTTCTAAAGGAAAGTTAGTACAGAAATGAGTCATTTTGAGGCTTTTCTGCATTTAACTTAGAAATGCACCAAATTAATGACGTCATACTACCAGAAAGGTCCTCATTCATGCCATATTTTTTCATGATTTATCATATTCATCTACACAACTATTGTTAAAGTCATAACTTTTTAAGAACATTCAATTTTTAGGGCACATTAAAGCTCAAACTGTACCTTCTTCTTTTAATATTTATTTTAAGGACCCTCTCTACACAAGTGCAAATATTTTTTTGGACATTGAGAAAAATATATTGTATAAAGGAGTTAATATTAAACTTATTTATTTAATTTTCACTATATGGTGCGTGGCATTTGCCCCCAGGAAAAATGTTTAAAGACAAGACAGTATCAGTGAATAGAAATCACTGTAAATTACTTCAGTAGAGAAAATACATGAAAATAACACGTTCACTTAATTTATCTTAGACTTTTGAATGTTAAGAATACATTAATTAATTACAAATTGAGTAATATATTGTAAATACCTATTTTTTAGAATTTAGATCTAAGGGCACATCACTCTAACTACAGAAAAATACCTTAGAATCAAACTCTTTAGTGTGCAGTGTAGAGAGGATTCTTAATATTCCTACGTTGATTTGATATATCCATATGAATTTGAAATGAAAGTTTCATAGTGTTTGACAAATTGATATGATATTCGGATACTTTTTACTAGGAGAAAAATAACTTATAAACAACAGAAATGGGGTTTAAAGTGTTAAGAATTATGTTTTCCTGTCAAGAAAGCTGTAGACACTAACAGAATGCATATTGAGACTTTTTCATTCATGTAGAACGTGCCTTATTTGCGCAGAAAAAAATGTTCAAAGGCTATGTGAGCAGAAATCACTGTTTACTTACATTGGGAAAATTAATGCAAATAATTATTTAAATTTCTTAATTTTGGTATTATATAATAATAAACAAATTTTGATCTATTATAAATTATGTAATTAACGGTAAAAAACAATTTCTAATCTTACATCTAAGGCCAGATCACTCTAACTGCATAAAACTACCCAATGAATAGAATTATTTAGTGTGCAGTGTTTAGATCGTCCTTAAAGTTTCCAGGAAAAAAAAACAGTAGAGCATTGTTTATAGCAAATATTTTTCCTATAAAACAGAAGAGCAGGACAATCTACTGTGCTAAATGCAAATCGCAGTCAGGGATATTGAAACAAACTTTTTCTATATATTTAGTTATCTCTTGTGCTGTACATTTTTAAGGGTAAGTTTTTAGAATTATATCTTCTATAACACCTTTTTGAAGATTATTTAAAAGAGTTTTTTTTTTAAAAAAAAAAAATACATTTTAAGGCATATAAGTTTTAAAAGTTTAAATTTTATTATATTTTTTCTTTACTTAATAAACATAGAACTCATATATGAGCGAATATCCATAATTTTTGCGCGTTAGATTTACGAAGCCATCATGTATAAAATCTGTTTTGGAAATGCTGCAGAATCTCTTTTTTAAAAAAATCTAAGAAGTTTGAGAAATGTCGTTATACAATGGAAACACTATACTCTGAGATTTCAACTTCTTGATTGAAGTTAATATTTTTGTTGATTTATCGTTTAAAGATTTCCCTACAAGAGTGCTATTTTTGTTCTATCATTAAATTTAACTAGACATGTACATAATTTTCAAATTAACCATGTGTGTATTTTTTAAAATAAATAAAAAAAGTTCAAAAAATTTCGTCTTTTCTCTCCTATCTGTTAAGATTTATTAACAGTTCAAATGCGCCTCTTTTAAGGTGAACACATTTTACATATGATTAGGGTTGGGTGAGGATGGTGGTGAGTAAATTTTGTACGTAAACAATTCTGTATCCTGGTGCAAAATTGATGTCAGCTAGCTGATAAATAACTTTCAGTAAATTTACTTCTGATATATTTTTAACCATGTAAACGAGTGGCCAATCTCCAATAGTTCTGTATGTCAAGCCTTTCTACTATTTATTCGAAACATAACAAATCTTTCAGTATGAGAGATACCTCTATAGCTTGTAGAGATATCTTTATACATGCCTTAGAGAGATATTTCTTTGACTGATAGAGATATCTTAATACCGTAGAGAGATTTCTCTTTCAACAAAAGATTTACATAAAAATAATGGAGAGAGATGTTTTTAAAATAAAAAGATATCTCTTTTTGCATGAGAGGTATCTCTTTCCGACACTTTTGATTTTTCCTTTACACTGAGAGATATCTCTTTAACTGAAAAGATATCTCTCGAAGTAAAATAGACAAATCTCTCTAGGTTAAAGAGATATCTCTTTTATCTTCAGTGATATCTCTTTTCATGAAAGGGATATCTCCCAAGGAGAAAGAGATATCTGTTTAAGTAAAAGAGATCTCTGTTTAAGTGAAAGAGATATCTCTCTATGAAAAATAGATATCTCACTAAGTATAAGAGATATCTCTCTAAGTTTAAGACATATCTTCCTCTCAAAGAGATATCTCTTTAAGTTGTAAGATATCTTTATTTCTAAAGTGAGATCTTTCTAAAATGAAAGATATCTCTGTAATTTTAAATTTTATTTTCCGAATAAATAGCAAAAGGGCTTGCCATAAATATATGACATTATTAATGCTGCAATGCCAATATTTTTCGCAGTTCTGATTTGAAATTGTTGATAAAATATAGTATTGTCGATTTCGTTAAAATATCATACTGATATACATGCAGACAGTGAGTGCAGTAGAACGTATCGCAAAAATTACTTTCACACACCAAAATCAAAATTTGCACACATTTAACACCTGTTAGTAAAAATCACTGATTTTAATGAGAAAAGGACTGCGGCAGTTAACGGTTTGCCATATATTGGTGATACTCACTGACGAAGGTTAGTGGATTCATAAACACAAATGTACAAATAATATACATTTTATTAAAGGTCTCTAGTGAACAAGTAATGGAAATGTGCTTACTAAGTTATTAGAATTCTTTTCCCCTACCCCCTACCAGGAAACAACCTGCATCTTATTAAGAATTAGACACTGTTCTGCTTCACCGAATGCATCATAGTGGCTCTTATGGATAATCTCATCGTTAAAAACAGTGGGCCTTATACGGAAACACTTCTTTGTGACAAAGATTCATCATATACATAGAAATAGACAATGACAACTTATTAAAGGTACTATGGTGAATATCTCTATATTTTAACTCTTACTTTCAGATTTTGAAATGGGTTTATCATCCCTGGTTATTGTTCTGTTAATTGTCTTGGACACTGTAATTGGTAAGTAAAATGTTATATGTTAAAATCAGACTAATTTTTATAGGTGGATTGACATACAAAAAGATGACAAAACAGTCTCTTTAAATACTCTGTGGTTCAGAAATTCTAGAAGGGAGTGAGGAAATATCTTTTCTGCTCATAAGGTCCTGTAGTGTGAGTCACAAATAATTAAGTAGAGAGACTAATTATTAACTCATATTGCATAAACATACTTAGTGCTTTAATATTGGCTTAAAGGTAAATGTCCCCAGAAGCCGTCTAAAGTGGATAAATTTTGCTTTATTTATAAATCAATCGTGTAATTAGAATGATTTCCTTATCTGTCTTATAGTAAAGAAACCGGAATTTGATGGAAATCTTCTATTTATAATTTATAAATGTAATATGTACATGTATTTTTTTTCCAAAGCCGCCCTTTATTTTATTTTGCTTTATTTAGGATTGAAATGCTCTAAATGTACTCACGTGGCTATAACTGACGCCCCTTCAATTCTCGGTCCAATTCTCAAAAACATTCCATTGACCGAAAGTCCTCAATGTGCCAGCACCCCTCCAGGACAAGCAGCCGATGGCGTGAGTTTGGTTGAGTGCCCCAGTAATCAAAAGTCAGGACAAGTGTACAAGTGTGTGACATACACCGGCACTGTCACCGTGGATATTAACGTACTCATCACCACAGGTAAAATTGTCTGGATGAATTTATAGATTATGAATTATTATGCTAAAAATATGATTTGCAAAATTTTATGAGCTATATCGCAAATTCTCTACTCTACATTAAAAATCATATTGAACCCAAAGTAAGAAATGTTTTATTTAAAAGAATTAGTAAATGCATTCGGTTGAATATACCTTGCAATATAGTTAAGCTGTTTTATTTAATTCATTGACTTTTTAATAGTCCATGGACAGAGCACCTCGAGTTGGAAAAATCGGTCACCAACGAACACACCTTATGGATTCTTTTTCCCCTTTTACCCTACTAATTCCATCGCAGCTATTTTTTTTTTAAAATTATTACTGCAAAACATATAATTATGTCAAGAATAAAACTTAGAGCATCTCTCTGTCCTTTGTGTCCAAGATCTACCCCCAATAATATTGTACTTTTTTCAAAGTATCACCACTATATATTGAGTTCATGATGATGAACAGTACTTATCTGTGTTTCGTTACAGCTAGTTTCAAAGCTGAAATAGCTGACCGTGACTGTGTGCTGATGGACCCAGCAGTCCCTGCTTCATGCACCCCACAGGACAACATTCCTGCTGATAACGCTGAATTGAAATCCGTGTTCTCTAGTCTATCTGGTCTCAATGCTGTCACCTTCGTCGGTACCAAATGCGTGGTAGACGAGAAGTCAACAGCAACACATCTGAGTGAAACCAACATTGTCCTTTGCACGTTCATGCTTCTAATCTCTAACTATTTAAATCATCTTTGATTATAAGAATCGATCATACTTAATTACCCTTTTATACATGGGATACACTAGTAATCTACATAATTATTAGAATAGATTATAGTTAGACCATCATCCAGGAGATATCATTCACTGAATAATTTGTTTCATATTTCCCGCTTTGATTTTCGTTGATATATAATCAGGTGTCATGATATTACACTACTTTTTCAGGCGTTTTCATACATATGACCAAACTGCAAAACATTTTTAGAAACGATTTTCCAATGTAGTTCTATTTCAAACTTTATGTCATATAAATATGATCAATCATGGCTTTGCCACTTTTGAGAAGATTTTTTTTCTCTCTAATCAAATAAAATTACTGAACTAACAGTTCTTCTGTTCTCATTTCCTAATGCGCTATGTTCAGTGGCGGAACAACTCAGACAGTTTTACAAGGTTAAAATAAAACCAATGGAAAGGGAACTGTGTTTAAAATAATTACAAGAAGTCATGTTATTTAACATATTTTATTGTAATAAATATAAACAATGAAATTCGGTCATGTTTTTGAAGTAAGCATATTTTATTATAATAAACATAAATAATGAAATCGGGCATATACAGTACTTGGCCATAAGTGAGTCATAATTTTATTTTTCCACTATATATTTCATTGAAAAACACATTTTTCTAAAATATTATTGCAGTGTCATTTGTTGTTTCTTTTTAATGTCTAAAACACCATAAAATGCAGAATTTGTTGTAGTTTCTTCACATTATTTCAAAATAGTTTTATCTTTATGCATTATCGTGAAATCACAGGTCAAGTGCAAAACAAAATTTTTAAGACTTCAATTTGTTAAGAAATCATAGTAATTTGAGGTTAGAAAATTTTGTCTTGACAATATTTTATAATTTATTCTCAATAGTTTAAGTTTCATTTTGTTTATCATTTAAGATAAGAAAATTTGAATAATTCTGCATGTTTCAGTGAAAAAATCATGAAAATTGAGCTAAAATTGACTTTACAACAAGTTTTTATAAAAATAGGTTTTTCAATGAAATATATAGTGTAAAAATGCAATTAAGACTCACTTATGGCCAGGTACTGTGTATATTTAAAACTCAATTCTTTGTCTTCATACAGTGTCATGAAAAAAATCTATACATTTAAATTATCAAATATGAAATAACCTAAATAACAGGGATTACTGCTTGAACTATTGTATCAAACAACATAATAACACTGGTACTGAGTGATTAGTATTTTATTTGGCTTAATGGGCCACGACCGCTTCAAAGCAGGAGCCGATACATCAATATACTGGCTTTTGTAATGGCATCATTAGACAAGTGGCCCAAGGGCATTGAATCGCTCTTATGATAAATTATACAATCTATCCTAAGACCCAAGATGCATCAACTGACATTTGATGATTCTTAGCAAGTTAGGACTGAAGATATTTCAATCTTACTATAAAATACTATAAGTAGGTCATGGTGACATACTTTTTAATTGCAATTTTCTGAGGACACAAGATACATTAATTGACAATGATAGATGATTCTAAGCCAATACGTACTTGAGATATTCAAAAGTAGGTACAGTGACCTACTTATTGGTTAACATTCTCTGAAAACCCAAGGTGCATCAACCATGTCAACTGACAAATTTTAACAGTTCTAAGCAATAAGTATCTGAGAATTTTTAAATATAGCCACAAAATGTTACAAGTAGGTCACCGTGACCTACTTTTCGATCATCATTTTCTCTAAAAATCCAAGATGATTCAATAAACAAAGTTTGATGATTCTAAGCCAATAAGTACCCAAGATAGCTAAATATAGCCATAAAATGTCAAAAGAAATACATAAGGAATATAAAAGAAAATTCTTTAAAAATCTTCTACTCAAGAACAACAAAGCCATGATTGTTCATATTTATAAGGAAGCATCCTCAGGTTGTGTAGATTCAAGTTTGTTCAAATCATGACCCCCCGGGGATAGGGTGGGGCATAAATGAAAGAACAGACTTGTAGGGAAAAGCCACAGTAAGCCAAAGAAATATGTAAGCATCCTTTGTAGATTCAAGTTAAGTCAAATCATCCTTCCTTCTGTGTAGTGGTAGGTTGGGACCACATACATTTTAAGTTTTTCAAACTGGATTGATTTTTGCTTTTTTTCCCTAGCCACAGTGCTCAGGTGTGCGATGTGGTTCACGGGCCTCTTGTTACTTTGTATATTAAAACAAGATTATGGGTCTTACATGTATTATGGTTTCCTTTTTGTGACAGGACTGGTGTTAGTTTACTGGATATCACTCCTACTGGCCAAATTGACGACTGTTCGAATTGTCCAGGTACCAACAGAATTTCCAAATCCACACGTATCAAGCAACAACTTGCAAATCCATCTAAAAATATAAAACATTGGAACACCGAGTTATCAAAATGATGGCTAATTAAAAACAAACAAACAATCTAATTATATATATAACCAGCAAATAATTTTTTGATATAGCTTAATGACATAGTCCTACAATGTATAAGATATAACTACAAAATTCCTTTCATATAATGATATTATGCTATCTGAATTTGTTAAGAAGATTATTGTTCTATCATATTACTCGACGACAAAATATCCTTCTCCTGGAATTGTATGGTCAAAGGTTCTCTCCCCTTGTTCCCTATTCCCAGACACGCTTGATCCTGTACATGTGTAGTTTACTGTACTCAAAGACTGAGAGGTCGAATTACCACCAGACGGACATCTCTAGAAGGTACTCATCAACTCGGTAATCAGGGTACCTATCAACCTATCAACGCTGAAGTGAAACCATTCTCCATACGATATCTCCATCCCAACTTGAATAACTGCAAATCTATAAATTTATAAATATAAATTACTTTCTGTTGAAATAAACAAAGTACTGAAGTTTCCACAGTATCTTTGCCTGTTCACGATTTGTTTGTCCACGTCTTTGTCTGTTCACGATTTGTTTTGTCCATGTTTTTGTCTCTGTTCACGATTTGTTTTTTTTTCTACGTCTTTGCCTGTTCACAATTTGATTTTTCCATGTTTTGCCTGTTCAGGATTTGATTTGTTTACTGGAATTTTGAGATTGAACATTGTTTGTCAACTTCACATTTTACATACTAGTACGTCAAAGGAAAATTGGGGGTACGAAAAGAATATCAATCATGTCTATTATTTTCCTACTTTATTATTTTCTTTTTTACATTATATTATGCAAGAAATTTTCAAATTGCAAAGTAATATCACTCTAAAATAGCAAATTGTACTTTGCCTTTCAAGCTATTCGCACCATAGAGATATAGTTTTTTTGTTTAACTCTTCATTTATTATTTAATATTTACATCCGCTCAATATTTTCTCCTTTATTTCTTAAGAAAACCCATTGCGTTAATCACTGCATGAACTACAGTTGGCATGTCACCTGTACAGATTTTTTGATCAGTGGCTGTTCCATCAATGAAACGTATGAAGACGTTCGTATCATTAATACAACAACAATTTTTAGAATAATAATTGTATTTATGTATTGAATGCGATAACTTAGTTGGAGGTTTCCCGGAGGATTAATTTTAGTAAATTGTGAAAATTCTTAGATCCACGCCTTGGTTGATGGATAACATGTAAAAGAAGGTGTAAGGTCACGTGGTCAGCTCAGCGAGTCATTCAGTTGTATTGTGATAACCCGCATGCTGACCACGCTAACATCAGGCACCTTTATTTTGAAGACCCTCCTCCACCCCTGCACTCCTACCCCTGAAAATGGGTATTAATGTGTCATGTTACTCATATATACATTACATATTTGATTGTTCTGACTCGACTTGTTTAAACTGTTTTTATGTGCATGTATTGCCTATTTTGTTTTGATGTGCCATCTTTTTGCTAACTTTTTCATATGATGTTTTGATTGTCTTGTCTTACAGATACTTTTTTCTAGTCAGTTTTGGGGGATCAGACATTATCATATATTACGTAACTGCTAATCAAAGCTTGTGAATCTGATCCCTTTCTTGTTTGTTAAATTGTTTACATTTATACCGTCATTTTAATAAATGACATTATTCATCTCTATGAAAGTGTTTTATTTGACTTATACAAAAGTAGCAAAAACAAGCTGCGGTGAGCTTGCCTGTAAGCATAAGAATACATAAAATAATTTATTTTTTTAATCCTACTTTAAATGATTATTTATTCAGATATAAATATAAACTGTGAAAATTGGCGACATCAATCAACCAAACTTGTAAGAGATTTATTAGGACCCGACACTCCAAACCACACTTCTAGTAGATATGAATTTTTGCATATTTGATTTGAATTATGCAAGTAGTTGTAGAGTGTTTCGGCTATTAAGAAGCCTCATCAGGGGTCACGGACATAAATCATGGTGTTTGTTTTAGATGAGATCGGATTATCTCGTCACCTATATTCTTGTGTTTGTTGTAAGCTATGATTGGTTGAGAATTAAATAAAGTTTTGCATTCTTGATTTCTAAGAATGGTGTCCCAGTATTTCAGAATTCGTTTTTTCAGTCCTTTAACGCAAGGGTTAAATTTAGAAACCAGTACTGTAGGGTTACGTAATGACTGTTCTTGAGTCTTTTTGATGATGAGTTTTGATCAGTAAAAATGTCTTTCTTTGTTTGTTATAACTGGAATTAATGGAAGCAGTTACTGCAGAAAAAATTACATAACCCGCGTATTTTTTCTGCAACAGTTGCTTCCGTTAATTCCAGTTATAACAAACAAAGAAAGCATTTTAGTGTTTAAGTAGGAATATATGGAGAACACTGACTCGGGAACAACGTGATACACCGACTCACAAATCAGGATTACTACACACTTAAAATTAACATGACGGACTGGGATAAAAACCATAAATACGCTGAATATAGCACGTTTGTAGTTGATGATGAAGATGAAGGGTACAAATTGCATATCGGAGGTTACGAGGGAGACGCCAGTGATGGAATGATTAAACATAACAATAAAAAAATTCTCCACCTGAGATGTTGACAATGATCAAGTTGTGAAGGAATTTGGTGGAAGTTGCGCAAAGAGATTCCACGCAGCATGGTGGTTTTAAAAGTGCTACCAGAGCAATTTAAATGGAAAATATTATAGAAATGGGAAATTTGACGATAAAAAATATGATGGTGTAGCATGGAAACCGTGGACTGGCACAAAATATTCACTTAAACAT